AGAAGATGGGATGCCTGGTTCAGGGCCGTTTGTTGCAAACCGACTCAGCATCCCTTCTGGTCGGTCGCCATCGACCCGCCACGCTTCGTAATCACTCGGCACGATAGGCGTCGGGTAGGCGTGAGGGGCGCGGGAGGGATGATGAGCGCCATTGGAGCCATTGTTGCCGACGCCCAGTGGAGTCGCTCGGTAAACCTCGCGACAGCGGAACTTCTCAATATCCCACACTGTGATTTCATTGCCGTGGCTTCCGCTGCTAGATACGCAGACCCAGCGTCCGCGGGCCTTGACGGGATGTAGTTGGATCCGGTTAATAGCACCCCAGCCTGGAAGACCCCATGCCTTCAAACGCACGCGGAAGCGAAGATCCCATAGGTCGAGGATCCCATGAGTTGTGCCGACCAGTAGCCAGTGGTGCCTACGGTCGCAACAGAATGTAGTTAGAGTTCCATGGTGAACTGGATTTTCCAGTTTGTAGATCGGCAGCATGGTTTTCATGTCCAACGCAATGATGCGACAAGTGTTGGTCGCAATTATTAAGGTGGATTGCCCTTCGTCGCGGAAGTGCTCCATCCAGACCGCGTATTCGACTGTTCCATCTTTGGCCATGGGAAGCTGATATTCGCGAACAATTTGAAGCTTGCCATATCGGACGGCTGTCTGACTGACTTTCTGATAATCGACTCGAACAGCATTAACGCTGCCATCAGTTGCCGCACTAATAAAAGTGTAGGTATTCTCAACAAAGGTCAAAGCCTTGACACGCGAGCCTGTTGCGTGACGGTGAGTTTGACGGGATCGAGGAGTCAAATTTCTTTCAAGACGGGTTGTATCCCAAATTTTCACCGTGCCATCGTCGGAGGCTGTAGCAAAGAAAGAGTGATCTGGTGCTACCGCAATGCGATTGATAGGCGCACTGTGCTCCCCGAATGTTGCGACCAGATTCCCTTCGGGCTTCCAGATCTTACCTGGCTCTTGATCAGTGGCACTGCGAATTGGTTGGCGGGTGTCAACTTCTTTGATATATGGCCCTAGGTCAAATAGGTCTGTCGGGTAGTTTTCCTCAAAGACATTATCTAGCAGTCGTAGAACCGTAGGGTCGTTGCCCCCATACGAATGGTGGGCACGATATTTCTGTGACATTATCCGGGTCGCTTTGTGCTCGGTTGAGAGTAAGGGCGTCAATGGTCGGGGTGTGCCTCCTCTTTGAACTGGCGCGTCCACCTTCCCAAAGGCGTTTGTGGAGCTTGTGCCCGTTTCAGCGTAGGCTTTGGTGGTATCTTTGCGGCTCAACAAACTCATCGCGCTAGACTTTTTATGTACACGATCGGATAGACTTCTGGTATCTGTATTAGTTGGTGTTAATGAGCCGTCTTGTCCAGGGCTCGCTCGGCGACTGGAAAGCCGTTGGTCATTATCAATTCTCGGAGGGGACAATGGTCGAGATGTGAGTCCTCCAGCAGGCGATGACGCCACTGGAGACGATGATAGTGAAGAGGTATCATTTCCGTCCAAGATAGGAACACCTGAGGCACGTCTTGTTTCTTTCAAAAGTTGGCTTTTCGACCGCAAGTGCTTGCGATGAGCATTGGGCATTCGCTCAATGGTTGTGGAAGCATCAAGCAAAGCATCTGCAATTGTTCTCGGCCTTGGGTCCTCGACGTTACCATCGTTCATGGCTAAGGAGATTGCTCGCGTCTGATCTTTAATTTCCTTATCAAAGAACACAGTCTGGGGCTTGACCCCATGTTGTGTCAGACTGACAATGTCGTTCGATAGTGGGGCGGAATGGACATCGGGTTCTCTCGATTGCCGTAATGAGACCCTCCAAATGTAGTCTTTGAGTGCAAGAAGCTTGAATTCATCCTCAGCGCCCATCCCAAGGGTTCGCAACCGACCAAGCCACTGTTCGTCCTCGTCATTTCTTGATTGAGAGGCCATATTAAAGGAAGGATTGCGTTGACCCACGCGGGGACTGGATGCTCCAGGCTCAGACAAGCTGACCATGCCATCTCGACTTGGCGACTTCCAAAAAACACCTTTGTCTGAATTGGAAGCCCAGATGAAGGCCATTTCGTACACACTTCTTGACATTGGCCGTTTGAGTGCATCGAGCATTTGAGCATCCGAAAACATAACAATGTTGATCTTGAGGAAAGGCCGGATAATGGGTGTCAGGATAGAATGGACATCCGCTATTGATAAAAATTTGGCGGAGTTAACCACGAACTTGACTGTTGCCTCCCGGATCCAGATGTTCGGATGTCCCAAAAACCCAACAGTCGTATGTAGGAGATCCCACGTTGTTGATCGCTGGAATAAGCCCAAGTCCGCCATGGCTGCCAGAGATCGAATTACCCTTTCAACAACAAATTCCTCAGGTTCAGTCATAGACTGAACCATTAACGGCAATATGTATAGCTCCAGATTCAGGCTCCCCACGTAGGTGGCGACACCAATGACAGCCTCGAAAAATGCACATTTCAAAATCCAGTCTGGGTCGTTCAAGTAGGTATTCAAATGACTAAGGACGACTTCATTTGCTCTGAGATTGCCGAAAAAGACACAGAGACTAGACACAGAACCCAGAAAGGCCCGCCTCACTGATGCATCAGTGTCTGTTAACAGGGCTTTTGTGTGAACCTCGAAGTATTCCAGAAGATCGACCCGAGCCACATCATAGAGATTGTGATAAGTCGCATCCTCGGTCCATCGGGCCTCAAATCCGACCGGGATTAACGCAGCCAAACGCGTATCGGATCGTAATGCTTGGATCATATCCAGAAATCTCAAGGACGACTGGGCCAAAGACGCAATGCATGAGGCATATGCGGCACGCACCATGGCACTTGATTTGTTGTTGGATGTAGCAACAAATGGCTGCAGCCTTGGGAATATGTATTCGGAGAACAAATAGGCATTGACTGGAGAGACCACCTGGACCATCTTCAGTAATTGTGTCAAGGTGCGAATTGCAGCAACCTTGACAGTATCAGTCCGATCAGTCAATAAGATCATGATATATGGAAGAATGCGATCCAATTTAGCTTCATCTGACAGCCTTTCCGCAAACGCAAGAAGGATGTCGCAGGCTTTGATTCGAGCCGATGCCTTGGCTGTATTTCGCAAGTTTGATACCACAAGTGTTAGGAAAATCAAAGCACCATCGTCTGGTTGTGATTGTAGTGCTGAAGTTTGGGTTTCACCTTTTGGCAGATCAAGTCTCACAGGAAGAGTGTTGCCCGTCAATTTGGAGACTGGGACGTTAGATAAAGCCCCAACGCCACGAGTGCTAGAACCGAGGAAGTAAGACACTTTATCGAAGTCTAGGTAAATTCGCTCAATACGTTCGTCTGCCTCCCCTCGAATAGCCGATTCTGCATCCACATCTGTTCGTCCGGAAGAAGGATCGGTCATGAGGGACATGTATTGATGAAGAAAACTGTAGAAGTATTCCGGAAAGGCCTTACCCTTCCAGAAATTCAGATACTCATCCGCCGAGTAACGAGACTCTGGCTCAAGTTGAATCATATGCAGGATCAATTCTCGAATTTCCGGATCATCGATTTTTGCTAGTTGACTGTGTTCTGGGCTGTATTCTCCTTTGCGATACTTGTACATTTGACTCAGGTTGAAAATCGGCGATTCAAGAAAGAGCTCTGCAATAACACAGCCAGCACTGAATATATCCATTGCCCAGTTGACGCCGCTTTCGCTAGGCTCTTCCCCGGCAACACAGAACCGCTCGGGGGCTAAGTAACAAGTTCGTCTTCCTGAGATGTCGAAGAAAAAAGAGAAGTCTGCCGGATTATCCTCGGGAAGAAATGTCGGTTTGAAAGATGATGAGAAGTCCGAAAGATACAGCCAGTTCCAGGCTGTGACTAAAACGTTTTCAGTTTTGATATCACCATGGTAGACATCCAGTGAATGGAAATCTCGGAGAGCACACAACAGCTGGAAGGCAATCCACTTTTTCTCAATATGCTCTAGAAAAGGCCGTGTGCTATATTTGTGTCAGGCTTGGTTCGCTAGCAACAAGTCCGACAGACATACCTCATTCGATCATAGAGAGAGCTGTGGATGTACTGGCGCGCAAGGTATCCACTCGTGCCAGTTTCAAGAATCCTCTGGTAGCTTAATGCATTTGGCACATCCGCCAACAACATCCGTTCCCCTAGAGCGGGTATTAGAAGCTTGAAATAGTAAAAATGATCCAAACATACTCGTAATGTCTTTAATATATGGCTCCAGCTCCATAGTTGGGAACGGTTTCATAATAACCTTGATAAACACTAGGCCATTTGTTTGCCTTGCGCGAATGCTTTTCATGAACCTGCCACCCCCCATCGACTTCTCATACACCAGTTCAGATAGCTCAGGCACATCGATGCCCGCCGACCCCGCGGACAGGGTTGTGAGGGAGTAACCTTGTCCCATAATTTCGACTGCCCTTCATCTCCCTGCTAGAGGTTTGATGGTAATCAGAGTCAGAGATTGAGTAAATTAGATGAAGATTACAGGTGAGAGCTATGCGATAAGGAAAGTCGGGTTGAAGCCGATGAAGTCACTGAACGCGTCGACACGTGTCCAAGGCGGTCAGTAAGGTGTTGGCAACTTTCAGCTCGTCGCCTTTTTCTCTTTACAATTCTTCCTGTTTCATATTAAGTATTTCGAATTTTCTTATCTAAAATACTGACAAAGGTCATTGTCACCATGCAATTTGTGGCTAACTGAAAACCCCCCTTACTTATCAAACGACATGGACTTCTCATCGGTACCTCGGTCTTGATACTTACAGTTCTGCCCTATCCTTAAGGGGGAATACGCTACATAAGAAAGAAATAACAAACAAAACAAACAAACAAACAAACAAACAGCCAGATTTATTGAAAAATACATACGGAGTACTGGAGTCTATACTCACTGCTCAACGTCGGTATGTGGCTGGCTCTGGGGCCTTTGGGGAGACCCGCTAACTAATCGAAGTAGAACTTCTCCAGATGGATTCACACATGTACCATACGGAAATTCCGGTAATCGAAACCGATGAGCCGCTATTTGATATTCTTCCCAAACTGTCCAAGTAAGTCATGCCTGCCTTGTTGATTAGGCAAAATTAACGAATTCCCCTGTAGCTTCATTAGCATGGCCGTGGGTGAAATGGCTTACACGTTTGAGCAAATGCTGTATGGATCCCAAGGACACCGTCTTAGACAGCTGGTTCATGCCTTGGCAGAAGATACTCACAATCCCTTCATCATTTTGGCATTGATGTACGTTCACCATAAAGAAGGACCGAGAATTGAACTAGTTGATTAAGAAATCCAGGATTCTGAAATGGGACTTCACCACTGCCACCGAGGATGACTGGGGACTTAATGAGAGCCGTGGTGCAGCCTGTGAATTTGTTGCCTGGCAATTCCTGTGTCACTTGAACCAGCGCGAGACAATTGAGTTTCTGTTAGAAGAGCTACCAATACCGCGGCGCGATTCGACAAATATCATTGATTCTGAAGCAGTTAACTCTAGCCTGGCATCTATCCAAGGTGATACGAGCCAGGCGGAGAGTGAGGTCACTCCTCTCTTGCCTCACTCTTCCTTTTCTCGTCTTTTCGGCGGCAAGAGGACCACAGAGACTCAGTTATTTGGAAGCTCACAAGATACACACCGACACGAGGAAACATATGCCGCCCAAAGATACTCCCGTTTTTTTGGATTGAATGCACTGGAGATTGCAACGATTGCCCATGCAAAGAGATTTCTAAGCCAACGAGTTGTTCAGAGGGTGGTCGATGGTATTTGGAAAGGTGAAATCGTTTTCTGGGACTCACTGACAGTCAATTCAACCAAGAAACCTCAAATTTACAACACAGGGTTAGACAGGAAAAGCCACAATCTTGCAGGTACTATACTGACAATTTTCCATTAGAACGGCTGATCCATATTCACGCTTGAGAGTACCTCTGTATCGGAAAATATTTGAAGCAGCATTCTTCATGTCTTTCCTCTTTCTCTACTACGCAGTCTTAGTAGAGAGGAGACAAGAAGCCGTTGGCATCTTCGAGGCTGTGATGTATGTGTGGATCGTCGCTTTTGCGTACGATGAATTGAGTGGAATCATTGATGCTGGCGTCGTTTTCTACCAAATGGGTTTCTGGAGTCTTTGGAACCTGAGCATAATTGGTGTTGGGATAGCATTTGTCATAACAAGTGAGTCGCTGAGTGCTCAATCTGCCTTGCGGCTCATTGTTCTCAGGTCAACTGTCGATGGTGCAACTAATGAGGACGCGCCACAGGGGTCATCGGGCTAGCCAAGGGCGACAAACCCATTATTGAGCTCTCATTCGACATCCTATCTCTTGAGGCTCTATTTCTTGTACCGAGGCATGGCTATTCATGGAATTACCATCTAGGCAACAGAGCTGATAGGGAATGAACAGGATCTGCTCGCTTGTGAGCTTGAATTCATACTTCGGCAGTCTAGTAAGTGGATCACGCATGAAACATCATTGTTCTAGAAAAGGATTGACTGACTATGGCTATAAATAGATACCAGTATTGAAAGAGATGGTGTGATCTCCTAGCCCTCAGGTGGCTTTGGGAACCCAAGGCTGATTGACAATGTGTTTTAGACGAAAGCATTCTTCAGGTTTTTCCCGGTGGTGGTAGTATTGTATATTGGTAAGTGTGGCTCAGTACCTGGGCAATGCAGCCAGGGCTACGGAGTACTCCGTAGTCAAATGATGAATGCCCGAGCTGAATGAGCTGGGCTGGATTTACAGGTTTCTTGACCACATTTACCATGCTTGCCCGTGACCGCTTGTCGCTCAGTACAATGTCACATTTATTAGTGAAGGTGTTCTTTGGGTATGGCGGTGAAATAATATCCCTGTGACCCCTCTTTTTATTTCTTTACTGACCATTATACAGATCGAGTGTTCTTGGATTAGTGGGTTTCATTATATCCTTTTACCTGGATATTTGCTGACAGTGGCTGAATTGATTGGATGATAGGACACCGCGTCTGAAGTAGGTCTGCGCACTAGGCGGCTGTTCTGCAGCTCCAATCGCATTTATCCCGGAGTATTGGCAAAATGGTTGGCTCTCGCGTTTAGTTGACTTACACGCTAATTTTTTAGATCTCCCCCATATTCGGCTATGGCTTGATGTGAGTTGCCTTTTCTTTGGACCTTTTTTTTTTATTTGAAAAAAAAAACTACTCGCATGTGGTTTTGATCACGTTCTAATATGCAGGTGACGTTGAACTGCATGCCTTTTTTTTCCCTCTCTTTTGCGCTATCACCATACGGGGCTTTTTTTACAACTTCCACGCAGTGGTTTCTTTTGCAAGATTTATATAATATAATAACTAATTGGAATTATAGGCTTATTTTCGCCCTCATGACCAATACACTTATTCTCTCATCCTTGATCAGTTTGATGAGTATGAGCCTTGAAGGGGTAAGTGAACATGGTCTACTCCGTACAACATACGGAGTACTACACTAGGTATAGTTTGGTGGCTGATATTAATTCCACTTTTTTTTTTTGTGATAGGTGATGCGCCATGCCCGAGAAGAATACCTTTTCCAGTAAGTACATATGTATACAGAAATCCCTGCATTTCTGAAAATTTGGCACTGCCCCAATGGAAAATTCCATTTACTAATAAGCCAATCAGGTTGGCCATTTATGTCCTAGAAAGCAGCAATTCCCGACGACTGACATACTTTATGCCACCCCTGGTCAGTTAGCGTCTGATCCTTGAATTGAATCTTATTCTTTATGTTCTGGAATATTTCCAAGCTGACACTCGGTAGAATCTTATTCCCCTCCTTTGTATCCGCCCTATGCGGCTTTTTCTCTCTGCCGGAACAGTTCGCCGCGTACGCATTATCTTGCTTCGAGCCACTCACCTCCCGTTTGTCGCATTGATATGGGCATACGAGTCTAAATGGCGACATTCGAGCCAGGGCACTCAACTTCCCCCAATATCGACAAGTCAATGTACTTCTGCAAACCCGACTGAGTTCAGGTCTCAAGACCCACACGCCCCCTCCGTAATTGAAACAAATCGCCTAGGCCCTGGAAAAACGAGTGTGGATCAACAAGACGCGCGTGAGCTAGACATGGGGCAGGTCGGGCAAGTACAGTTTGCGGACCTGATCGACACGATAGAGCGACTACGAGCCCAAGTGGAGGCAATTCAGCAAAATTGATTTTATTTTCAATAGAATACTGTGATTTGGCTTCTTTGATCTTGGGTTTCAGAAGAAAAGCCGCGGTAGAGGGGTCACTACCCTGGCGCTTAGGGCCACGCACGCCCCCTGCAGGACCGGACTGGGCGCTAGTCGGCGTCGGTTCGGATTAGTGGCAGAGCCCTGACAACTCCAAACCGTTCGAGATGCTTGTGAACAACCATATCGATTAACAGCCTAATCCAAACGGGCTTGGTGGGCTTTTTTTTTCGGCGTTCGCTCTTTTTTTTTCCCTCCTATTTTTTTTCCTTTCCCCCCCCCCCCCCAACCCCCTGTCCCTGGTGTTTCAAGCTTGGTTCTCCTTTCCAACTTCATGAATTTACGAGAAGGGAAAGCAAGTATATATGTTGTATGTAAATATGTCATCGTCATGAAGTTGAATTCATATAATCTCAGAGTCACGGCTTGTCCGAGGTGGAGTCGAGATGTGGAGTTTCCGCATTTATGGTATACATGAAGCCAAAAGGGATCAAGCGGTTCGGAAGGGCTGGCCCGCATATCGCTGAGGTCACGGTGATAATTAGTCCTGCCTGTTCAAGGCTAATCAACTTCATATCTGATTCTGGACTTCGTCAGAAATACATATTTACATTCCCCACCAGTCTGAGCATATGCGGGCTGTGCTCAGGGTTAACAGGCCTCTTGACACCAATGCACCTCGCCAAGCCGAGATCCAGAGACTCGGGCCCTGGTGTTGTTTCTGTATGGCTACTACCTGCATGGGACACGTCTCGGTTGGGCAGAACAGCCCAACGGTGGTGAAAGGGATGGTTAGCCTTTTCCAAACAAACCCAACAGCCGCCGTTATGCATCGTCATATGTGTAGCAGTTCTTTACAGGGGATTACGATCTCTAAGAGTGCCCGAAACTAGCCTGGAAATTTAATGATTTGCCCTAACTAAATACCTATGACATAGTGGTATATCTTGATCACTTCGGAGCTAAACCCTCTGTGAGTGTCCATATGGCAGACCTAGACTGATTACCCCCCCGGTCCTTAATGCCCCCCCACCCGAGTTTCTCTTCCACCGCAATTACAGACCCTTTCCTCTTCAAATCTGCCTTGTCTACTACGGCGTCAAGTCGTTGAATCTTCAACAATTGTCGGTGTCGATGCGGCGCAAGTTTTTCTCCAATGAATTCATACCTTATCCACAACCTTCCTCTCAGCCACCGTCCATGTATGTCGCCGCTGTCAATCACCAACAGCGAAGCTGTTGACTCAAAAGCCCTTTACTATATATACTTGGGTTCATCGCCATTCTTTCTCCATTCTGATATAGACTAGCCCTTTGGTTGGTTTTGGATGAGAATATACTTCTTATTATCATTTTGGATTTGGTTCTCTACGACATGGATCGGACCCAGGATTTAGTTCATCGCTCAATCACATCGCCTCGAAGAGAGGTTATACGGTCACGCGAAACATCCGCATACTCGTCTCCCATCTCTACTTCGTCTCAAGGAGGGGTTTCCCCGATTGGTCTGGGGATCTCCCGTTGCGAAATCGAAAATGCATTCGGTCAAATGAGGGTCTTTCCTCCCACGTCTACACTGCCATCGCAACTGGTTCCTGGAGCTCCAACTCCCACCTTCGCATTGACTTATGACGACTACTCCCGTGGAACATGCTATCCACCAGTTTACAACGGACTCGCCAATAGTGTTTCGGAGACTTCGTTGGGGTTCTACAGCCCCACAACGATGAGCGCGTCCCCCAGTTACAACTCTACCGTGGAGGTTGTCTCTGGCCAGAATGTCTTCCCAAGCCAAATTAGCGATATTTGGATGCATACGCCTTGCTCAGGACCGACAACGCCATCAGATGTTACGCCCGTCACTGTAGCGAATGGTGCCGTAGGACACTGGGGCCAGAGTGTGTTTTCGGATGCGTGCATTCCCTCCACAATGCCCCTATTGCCCGTCAATAACGTTGCCTACCTTGGGGTAATGGGAGAGGAGATTGGGTACGATAGCTCTACCGGACACAGCATCCACACTGGGCAAGTCATGTCTCAACCTCAAACTTCTGCTGAAGGGACTGATGGTGCCACAAACCCGAGCAATAGAGAGCGCGGCTCTTCAAATGACAGGCTAGTATCTGCTAGTGGTCTGGAATGCCCCATTTGTGGTGCCAAATTCACCCGACGCTCCAACTGTAAGGAGCACCAAAAGATGCACAACCCTGAATGGAAGAACAACCATCCGTGTAATGACTGCCACAAAACCTTTGGACGAAGCTCGGATCTCAAAAGACACATGAGCACTGTGAGTGAAAAACCTAGAAAGAACCAAGAACAGACACTAATGAGGCCCTCTAGGTTCATCTCGGGCTTCGAAAGTACAGTTGTGATCGTTGCGACCGGCGGTTCAGTCGTCAGGATAGTCTGGCTAGGTAAAGCCCCCAGAATATTCGTTTTTGTTGAGTGTGTGCTGATATGAGATAGACATGATTGTGTAGACAAGCAACGCAATGCTGGAAAGTCTACCGGTCACGCTGAGCCTCACCAACGACCGTCAAACCACCGCCGCTCGGCTAGCTAACACAAGCGACAGCTGATCCCATGTCTATGTGAATATCGGAGGAAAATATCGTGCATATTGGCTATGATTCTTACGAGTTGCATGGCTTTGCCCTGGGTTCTGCTGGTCAGACCTTGGATTTGCTTTTATTTGGTTCTGTTTACTAGGCTTCACATAAGATACGATTCCTATTCGGATTCACGTATGGGCATGAAGTCCCATTTCCTTGGCGTTGTTGGATTGTTATATGCATTTTGGCTGGAATATTGATATTATTGTACTGCAGGTGGTCTTTTTGCTTTTTGTGTTTAGATTCAATTCATCTGGCTTTTGGTATATTACCCCGTACATATGTAATGTGATATCATTTGCATGCAACCCCATGAGCTGGCGCGCGGGTAATAGGCATATCATTTATATGTACGGAGTACGGAGTACAGAATATGGAGTGCCTAACATCCAGTCGCACTTGTAGCTCAATTAAGATCGACATGGTTTCTAACACAGGGATTGGAAGGTCAGAACTGTAAGTTGCAACATATGCAGGTTCTTTAATAGCGACTCGCTGACCAAAAAGGACGTGGAAATTACACTTTATTTCCACAAAGAAATTCCCACGAACTTCAGGGACTCCAGGGACTACAGGAACTCGAGGAACTCCAAGGGAACACCAGGGAACACCCCCTCTCTCCCCGAGGCCCGTTGGATCTCGACTCTTACCGCGCTCCACTTCAGAACGCCGAATCACACGCTAAAATCAAAGAGGATCTTCGACATCTAGACGATCTTTGAGAAACTGGTGTGAAACAACTCTAACCCCCTTAGTGCTCTTGAGGTTATTGATCTATTGCTCTCTAAATTTGCAAATCCCTTTCAAAAAAAAAAATCTCCAAATTCAAAGGTCCAACGCTCAGGTTATCACAAGGTTATGTCTCACTTCCCCAGCCCTGACCTCTTCCTGCAATCTATTAATCCTTGCTCAGTCACACGCTATCACGGAAAATATAGTGGGAATCCATTCTCGTATGTTGACCTTTTAACAATAACAAATAGTCATACTATTGTCTAAAGCTCCTCAATTTCACCCCGCTATCTCCACCGCTTCTTAAAGCTAGTCGTCTCAAGTGGAGACACAAACAACACTCGGCCATTTGGAATTGTGCGGTGTAGCCGCGTAGGAGACATCGCGTCTGTTCGCCTATCTAGAAAATTGGGTCCATGATCATAAACTACATGCGAATAGCTGCCTAATATAGGTAGAGTGTTTATGGGCCGATTTGATCCTTGCCCCTGAGATTTCTGACAAGTGGGCCCGAAAAATCCGGGAGTCATACTATTGTCCAGCACGATAGGCTCTCCGTGTTACTGGGAACTGAGGCGTTTACACTTAGTACACTATCGGCAACCAGTTTCCTGTCTGTCCCGAAAGAAATGATAATCGCATTGAGCAAAGCAAAAAGATGTACGGAGTACTCCGTGCCTATGTGTGTATTGACTAGGTACATATAGCCGTTGGAATGCTGTCTGATCACAATCTTCCTATGACTTTCAATTTGCAGATCCTTATGGTTTCCATGGAGCTATGTCCCCGAGCTAGAAAAAAAAGAAGAAAAAAAAAAAAGGAAACCATCCGAGCTCGACAATATTGCCTAAAAAGGCCCAATGCCGATCTCTATACTCCATACTCCGTACTCCGTATCCGCAATGAACTAGGGGCAAAACTAGGAACAGGAACAAAGAAATCCTTGTTCCGCTGTCTCATTGTTTTTGTGATCGGGCTCCGCTAATTTCCAAAGGGCTATCACAATCCTGCGATTTGTCGCTCTAGGAATGTGCCCAGTTGTCCATCACTAGTACCAGCGCCACTAACACTATTTTCAACCGCTCAATCGGTACACCCGGGTGTTTGGGCTGACGTATCGATTTGTGTTCGTATAATAATATTTATTTTAGCATCTACCCCTGAGTTTCGGGGTCCTAGAAAGCCCATATCTTCCAATGTTGCTGATTAATGATATATGCTAGCATCGGGGCGATATGCAAAGACAATCTCGATTATCGGTCAGATCGACAAGCATTATCGGAGGTCTACAATGTATGGGGTTGGATTCCCTTTTGTGGGATCTTGAGAGAATTGAATCTCCGATTGGGTGATCTTGCGCCATGGATATCGGCATGGGTACTCAATCCCCCATCACACGAGCTACTACAACTCATCACACTAAATACAAAGTAGTTCGGAGCGATGGCTATTTTTATACAATGTACGGAGTAGGAGGACAGTCTATGTAGGGCTTCTGATAAACTAAAGAAATTACCTACTAACATGTCTGATGCAAAAACCATTGGGGAAGCAAAGAAGAACTGCTCAATTTTCAGTTTAGCAAGCAAAAAGAATCGCCATAACACATATATTGTAGACTAACATAGCCATCGTATACGGTCAGGGCCATTCTCCATTTGGTGTATCTATCTTATCAACAACTTCACCTATCTGAAGACTTTATATTAATAGGCTTTGTCTCAATTGGATTAACGGAAGACATTCCTGGTGAATCTGAGAGGCTAGTTTCCATCTTCTCTCCCTCGTTAGTCTGTCTAATATACCACAACTCCGGTTAGCAATATGCACGAGCCTAAAAGGCATAATTGATACTTTCAAAATACTCACCCTTTTCTCAATTTCTCTCTTTTGTGAAGGAAACGAACACCAAAAGTACCAATAATCAAGATAACTGACAGAATGGTGACAGTGATAAAGCCCTTCGGGTATTCCGGCGCATCGACTTGCTGCCATACAACAAGAGGCAGCCAGGCTTGGAAAACATACGCCATTTCGTTCATGCTTCCAATAACTAAGGATCGCTCTTCGTTATCTTCAGAACATATCTCATGTGCCCAGCTATAGTAGTTGTGTTAGAATGTTTGTACTTATCATAGCCTTGGGAATTTGTAAGACTTACGCCATTAACAGACCACTGAGTCCATATCCAGCCCCACTGATAATGTAACAAGTCCATTTCCATCCCATCGGAATGTCCCAAACGGCGAGAGAAACGTAACTTACGATGTTGATGCACTAGGATAGTGTTAAAAATTCCCATATTTCCTTGTGGGATGTTACACTCACAGCACCGAAGATGATCGGGGGCCAACGCCTGCCGTTCAGGACAGTATCCGATATCCACGCATAAGCGAGGGTTGTCACAACTTGAACCGCTGGGGTGGTGGTTGGTATCGAATTAATCTGGCTGATTGAATATACAGGATTCTTCGAGTTTTTGAGGAACCTCTCGGGAGTCAGAGTAAGCTTGCCGATGATATCCATCCAGATGTTACTCACTGTTGGAAGATAGGCTGACTTCCAGCGGCACCATTGTTAAAACATCTAAAATATGTGAGTTTTTTTGTTCTAGAATAATTAGGTACTCAACTCACATGTAAAGTAGGGTCAAAAGATAGATGTGCCACGAGGTGAAAATTTTCTTCAGCTTTGACCTTGTGTATGGCTCTCTGTTCTGTCTTCCTTCTAATTTCATTCGTGTTTGGGCAAGATTGACCTCCTGGTCTTATGTTATTATTTGCATAGAACGCAACAGATTGAAAATATATATAGAGAGAGAGAGAGAGAGAGAGAGAGAGAGAGAGAGACTTGCCTCTTTGCTTAGATACCACGGATTGGCGATCTCAGGCACATCAGGAAGGATAAAGAATCCACTAATAGCCACGGGCAGGGAAATAACCCCATCAATAATAAACAGCCTTAATGCTAGTTAGTATATGACCAAATTCCAAGACTATGTCGGTTTTCTTACCATTGCCAGCCCTTGAAGCCTCCTCGTCCTCCGAGGTGGAAAACCGCGTCCATCAGATAACCAGAAAACATACTAGCAATTCCACTACTTGTGTGAAAGATGCATGAACGTTTGGCCAACTCATCTTTCCGGTACCATGAGCCGATGATATACTGCATTCCAGGATAGAAAGTACTTTCAGCGAGCCCTATCATGGTACAATGTCAATAATCCACTATAATAGAGGGCGAGAGTGAGTGTCAATTTGTGCTTGCATACCAACGAAAAATCTAAGAACATAGAACTGAGTAGGGGTGTTACACCGGGATAACGACATTGTGAGAACCGTCCAGAGAAGCTAGTGGGTTGTAAGCATACAGACCTCGCACAAAAACAAAACAAAAACTCTTACCTCCATAGCCGGAATCCAATATCGCGGCTTGATACGAGTTAGGAGTATATTGCTGGGAATTTCTCCAATAACGTAGCCGATAGTCCAGCATGTCTGCATGTAGTTGAGTTCGTTGCCGTACATGCCCAAATCTTCCTTCCTATGAGATATTAATATCAACCCTTCCAGATTGGAACGACAATATGATATGGAATCATACATTCCAGACACAAATGCATTGTTGATATTGATCTGATCCAAATACTTGATAAAATATCCTATAGCTGTTTAGCATTATCTGGAGAAATAGTCTGATGAGAATTACCTAAAGATGCGAACGTCAAGATGGCCGAATCTAGTTTGAAAAGCAAATGACGCTCCTCTGGTGACTTGTCAAAGGTATCCCAAATGTAGCTGATCCATTTACGCTTGGGCTTTTTCTGAACTATCTGTATCGCCGCGTCGTTGTCCGCTTCGGTATGTGATTTTAGTAACATCGTGATATCATGGCAATGCTGAGGGAAAAAACTGAAATTTCATATCCCTTAAAGCATTCTTATACGCTGTGATGCGGGGAAACGATCAAGATTTTGTTTCAGAATTGTAAAAATGGAAATTCTAGAGATGATAAACGAGTGTTGTGACGTACTAGCTTCGCGATACCAGCCTAGCATTGGCCGTTTTAAAGATCTTATTATAAAAACAGAGATATATCCGATTTAAAGACGTGTGGATTATGCAAGTTTATACTGCGTACTAAGTGGGCGATATGGATAGCCGAATCATCGGGCGACTTGTTTGCGCAATTCCTGCAAGGACTTTCAACATGTGTGAAATGCCTAGTTAGTGCAAGATTGCTGACTTTAGGGATGATTACTGTGTTGTCATATTACGCTAGAAACTCACCATCGTCCAGTGAAAGCTCGTCATATACATCGGTCATGGTGTGATCCCTCAAAACAATAATATTTTTATTCAAACAGTTTTGGTATACTACGCCTGGGCTTTCTTTTTACTTCTCAATTTTCGGTCGTTCCTCTATTGGATAGATTAAAGAAGAGAGAATGGCGAAGGACCCTATCTACCTGAGGCAGAGCCTCCAGGGATACAGCTTAATAGTACTTACATACATATGTAGATGCTATGATTATGTCTTACAACAATGGTTTCTTTCAATATCTTTCAAATACATCACGCAGTCACAACCATCTCCAATGGACTTTTGAGGGCATCTTCCCGAGGAAGCTGCCCTGCCAGGAGCAACTTCATTCTCTCCATCAAAGAAGCTTTCTCTCTAATCCAGGTCTCAGTATGACCCTCAATCAAAGACAAACCGTGCTCAACTCTTCCAATATTAACCCATTTGATCAATTCTTCAACATAATCTTGCTCTTGGTCCTTGAGTGAATGAAAACTCCTTCCAATTCCCTTCTCCTTGACTCGACTCTCATATTCCGTCCGAAGACTCCTAGTGGATGGAAGCTGCGTAACCCCAGACAAGAAGGATGCAACAGCAATAGCTTGGAACTCGAATAAAGAGAATGTTGCGGTGTAAAAAGGAATTCCGACAAACGCGAGCGTAGGATCAGGAATGTAGAAAATATCTCGATGCAAGTTGTGGACTTGAGTGCCGTCTGTGACAAGCACCCTATCATTTGCCTCAGCGGCAGACACGCTGTAGTCATTATATTCCTCGAGGAATGGAAGTGCCATTTGGTATCCTGTACAAAGAATAATTGTATCTATATCATGCAAGGATTCCCCGGATTTGAGACGTATGGTTAAGGGCAAGTGCTCAACATTTGGGGATGTTAAGTTAGAAGGTTCGAATGCTCCAACCTCGGTGATTCTTGAGGCGTTTGGTGGAAGTGCACTCTCTGGGAGATCGAAGGCGCCATTTCGAGTGCTTTGGTACACGTGGTTTGCACTTGCACTGATTTCCTTGGCTATATCGAGAGCAGAGACGCCTCCACCGAGTAATAGTACATTCTGTATTCTAGTCAGTCCGGTGTTACTCAATATTAGAATACGTTCGTTGATACCTTTCCTTCAAATCCTTCTGATCTTCGAAAAGATTTTGAATGGAAGATTCTCTCGGGCCATCGAGCTTTTGCTTCGGGTAGACCCTGTATATTTGGGACAAGAGGCGTATGATAATGACCCGAGGCAACGATAACCGAGTCAAATGTCTATTGTCTGGTTAAACCACTTCTGAAAACGAAGCTGAAAGATCTTATAAATGAGAACTTACTGCAGACTCCTCATTCTCAACGGGATCTTGACCTTCACCCAAGGTGCTCCAGTGAACTCTCCATGTTGTCCCGTTCTTATGAACTCGGGTGACACGGGCACCATAATTGGTTATATCATCAACACCGGCCTTGTTTGATGTATCTTGGATATATTCCTTGAGTACATTATGCTTCACAAAAGGAGCAGTCCCTTCTGGCCATGCATTAAGTTTCGTCTGTAGTAAGGGAGTCGAAACATTGTTTGTAAGACTTTCATAGCAAGGCCTGAGAAATAATGAGCACAAGTACTGGGGGAGGAAGAGGAAATGAAAAGGGAAAATCCCGGAACTTACCCCGGAGGTGCATGAAGCAAGATCTTTCTTTCAGTGTCTGTTCTATCATCATTCACAATTTCCTGTGAAGTAGACGGTCTCGGTGATGGGTACTGGGCTTCAATCGGAGTACGCTTGTCATAAAGCCTACAATATTTCAGTCCATTTTTCGCGGTTAAAAAACATTCGATGCAAGATCTTACCAAACTCCACCAGCTGCATTGTTTCTCTCAAAAACCGTCACTTGAATACCAGCAGCCAAAAGATGTCCAGCAGTGACTACTCCGCTAATACCAGCTCCAATAACGGCGACTCGAACAGACTCACTCATGATAAATTTCACTGAAGTTAAATAAAAAAAAGAAGAAGAAGAGACGATTTGTCTACCGGCGTCTATATGGATTGTTCCCACACTTATGGGACCTCCAAACGACAAGATGGGCTGAAATTTCGCAATTGCGAAATTCAAAATCACTTGCCGGAACAAACGGCATTGGAGAGTCGGATATCAGAGATACTCCCGACTCCCGAGATCGTGATTTTGATCATGGATTGTGACATTGGAGGTTCCCCGCTTACATTAGCAATACAAAGATAGACAAGTTTACATCGCTGAAAGAGGGGTAATTGGGATGCCAGTGACCAGAGAGAAAGGTGATATTGGCCGATAAAAGGCGTAATGGGTGACGACGATGATGTGCTCAACCCGGTACAACGTACGTCGATAAAAGAATCGAGATTTCTAAAATATGTATATAGTACCGGCTTGATATTTGAACATTTATCAAATTCCCTATCTATCATCATGGCTCCCGCTCCCATTGATTCACGCATCGTCGATGTCGCAGTACCCAGGAAGGACACTCTCGATCTTCCTGTGCCTGCGCGAGAACGCTTAGAAAAAGCTGGGATTGATCTCAGTGACGGCTACCCGTACCGGCCATCCCGTCCTCTCTACATTGACGATGTTTACAATGTGCGGGATTATGATCGCGTCCATGTAGACCCCGGCAGCCGAGCTGATCCCGAGAAGAAAGCACTTCTATCCGCAGCCAAGGAAGTGATTCAGCTGACTAGGCATATTGGAACTGAAATCGTCGGGTTGCAACTGAAGGATCTGACAGACCAGCAGAAGGATGAGCTAGGCTTATTGATTGCTGAACGAAGCGTTGTCTTCTTCCGGGACCAGGATATTACCCCCCAGCAACAGAAGAAACTAGGAGAGTGGTTTGGGGAGATTGAGGTTCATGTATGTTTTATCCAATCCAGTGAAACCATATGCCAATCGCCAATGGTGTTTTTCTTTTTTTTTAGCCTCAAGTGCCCCATGTCCCTGGCATTCCCGGCGTGACTGTAATGTGGCCAGCGTTGCAGGAAACAGAGAGACCAGCGAGCTTCCGTCGACCAGGCGGAGCGTCTCGGTGGCATAGCGATCTCGTGCACGAGAGACAACCCGCTGGAGTGACCCATCTCCACAACGATACTGTACCAACAGTCGGAGGCGATACCCTCTGGGCGAGTGGATACGCAGCATACGAGAAGCTGTCGCCATTATTCCGCAAGTTGATCGACGGAAGGACTGCCATCTACCGCTCAGCTCACCCATACCTTGACCGTAAGAACCCAGAAGCAGGGCCTAAATATGTGGAGCGCGAGCACCCGATTGTCCGTGTTCATCCAGCTACAGGCTGGAAGGCACTGTGGGTAAATCGGGCAATGACAGACCGAATCGTTGGACTTGATAAGGCCGAAAGTGATGTAATTCTAGGATATCTTTACGACGTTTATGAAAAGAACCCTGATATTCAGGTTCGGTTTAAATGGAGTCCACGCACAAGCGCACTATGGGATAACCGGTTAGTTGGATATGCTGAGAAATTTCTTGAATATGAAGCTTATTCTTCAATAGCATCACAATCCATAACGCAAGCTGGGATTATGAGGGATCCCAGCCTAGACATGGGACACGGGTGACTTCGCTCGCTGAGAAGCCTGTATTTGATCCGAATGCGCCAACTCGGCGGGAGAATTTGGGCCTTTTAGGACCAGAGGAAGTTGCAGAATTGGAGAAGTTGACTAGTCTCCTTGAACTGAAGTGATCATGCTATTTTGACACCCAACTTTAGTGCAGCTTCTGATATTCACATACAGATAGGTATAGGCTTGAATCCAATTTTTTATCATGATATAACCACTTTGCGTAATGCCATAGGTATACCTACTTCGTACTTTGTAGGTTCACGGATAGTCCCCGGGCCACTTCTTGGTGGGGTGCTGTCAGCTGGAATTTCCTGGAATTCCGCGAAGGCAAGGAGACCAGGCAAATTTGCCGATCGTTGCCGCCTTTGACCCTACGCCGCATTTCCTCTGATTTCCTTCTGTTAGGATTCATCACTTTCTTTTCAACTTCACTTGTCGGCCAAAATGAGTGCAACCATGACAGTCACCAGTCCGCCTGAGATCACTGCGGATAATGTCGCCACTCTCTTTCCCGAGGTCGATACATCGCTTGCCCGTGAAGTCCTCCCCACAAGCCAAACAAACACTGTGCGCGGCAGCGAGCTTGAGGGCTACGATGAAGAGCAGGTCCGCCTGATGGATGAGGTCTGCATTGTTTTAGATAACAACGACCGGCCCATTGGAAGTGCCAGCAAGAAGATCTGTATGTTTACATTATGCGCCCCCATAATCACCCACAGATGTACAAAATGGCGGGGTAGTGATGGGCACAACATACAAGAGAAAACACTAACAGTTGCATCTGTATAGGCCATTTGATGACCAACATCGACAGGGGTCTCCTTCACCGCGCCTTCTCGGTTTTCCTTTTCGACTCCAATAAGCGTCTTCTGCTCCAACAGCGCGCCACCGAGAAGATCACCTTCCCCGACATGTGGACCAATACCTGCTGCTCGCATCCCCTTGGAATTCCCGGCGAGACTGGAGCTGAGCTGGATGCTGCTGTTATGGGCGTGAAGCGTGCTGCGCAGCGCAAGCTGGACCATGAACTGGGCATTAAGGCAGAGCAAGTACCCCTGGATAAGTTTGAATTCTTCACGAGAATTCACTACAAGGCCCCCAGCGATGGGAAGTGGGGTGAACATGAGGGTAGGTCACATGGCGCAATCTATATTTGATTTGGTAAATAGAAACGCTGACATCTTGCTAGTGGACTATATCCTCTTCATCCAGGCCGATGTCGATCTGAAGCCTAGCCCCAACGAGGTCCGAGACACCACCTACGTCTCAGCTGATGAGCTTAAGGCAATGTTCGAGCAGCCTGGTCTGAAATTTACCCCCTGGTTCAAGCTTATCTGCAACTCCATGCTGTTCGAGTGGTGGAGCCACCTTGGCACACCGGCCCTGGACAAGTACAAGAACGAGCAAGAAATTCGGCGAATGTAAAAGGCCCGATGCATACATAGTCTATTGCATATTTGGTTTCATTTCGGTCTACGTTTCTTCCGTCATCTTTGCATTCCTCGAGGCAACCCTGCCTCATTTACGCGACTCATGGAAATATACCTCTGCACACTACCTAGGTCGACGATTCTCACGACATCATTTATTTCGGATATTTTGCCCTCTCGGTTTAATTTTAGGAAATCAAAGACATATCTAATGTTTGCTCCTGATTTATTTCTTTTTCGTGTTCCTTGAGAATATTCCCGGTCGAGACATAAGTACATCAATGCAATGAATGAATGTAACAAGCAACCAAAATGCCCAATAATAATGCCAACGCCAGCGCTAATAAAAACTAATCGAAAAATCTGACCCCAGCATGGCCCTTACTGTGCTGGGTCCGTCGACAAAAACAAAATGCAACTACCCAAAATCACTGTTCCAACGACCGTAAAGACAACCTGCGTTTTCCAACCACTCTGCACTAGAGCAGCCTTGCGCGCATACTTCTTAACCGTACGCGAGTAGTTCGCAAAACCATTAGCCAGACAGGTCAAGCTGAGAACCCAGAAAATGATCCCGAGGGGTAAGGCCATGCGTCTCTCCAGGCCGGTAGGTTGATCACGGAAATGGAAGGAGATGATGATGGCCAGCGACACGACGGCCAGATACATGGATAGTCGGAGCCATGAAAGGAAAGTGCGCTCGTTGGCGCAGTGGTCGCGGGCGTCGGAAGAAGTGTTTTCAAAGAGGAGTGCGCCGAAGTAAGGGCGTGAGAGGAAGATGTGCCCGTGTTGGGACTCGATGTGTCTTCAAAAACGTCAACCGGGCTGTCACTATTAGACAAGATGTGGGGGTGGGGCATGTGGTAATCATGGTAATCATGGAGCATTCCGCTCTTGAATTTGAATATTGAGGTGCGGCATGCCTCATGTAAGGGATCAAGCCACTGGACAACGTGTTTTTCTCTCCGGCCATTTTCACAGAGCTGGACAGTTTGTGACTCACTCTTCCACGAGGACCGGCTTGGCATTTACCGGGTTGATCAAAGGGTTGAAGGAAGAACCAACACCCCTGACTTGTGTCACTGTTGGAGACATGTTGAGAGGTTTGACACTTGAAGCTTGATCATGCCCGAAATCTGGAGAAAACCTGGGGACAGCCTTGGAGGGTCTGGGATCATGTGATGCTCTATACTGTTTTCGGAATGATGTCACGGTCATTATTATTGTTTTCTCATTTGTTACATTCATATGATCTGGTGATCAATAGTCCCAGCGTTCGCATTGGTACTAGCATGGTCGAAGCCGGGTTCTTGTATGTAAATCTATATTGTATACTTCTTTTTTATGGAGGACCAACCCTAAATCGGTAATAGTATATATATACATAGTGGTATTGTTGTTCGGAGCTTTTTGGATTCAATATTTATAGATGATTAACATATTCTAACTACTTTACCAATAAAGAGGTAGAAAAAAAAGAAGTTAAAAAAAGTTCCAATGGTAGAAAATATTGAAGAAAAGACAGAGGATACAAAAAAAGAAACCAAAAAAGAAATGCTCACACTCGGAATCGAACCGAGGATCTCATCATTACTAGTGATGCGCTTTACCGCTAAGCCATGCGAGCTGGTTGATGTGAAGGTGTTGAGTAATTAGCTATATCAAGTAACACCAGAAATTAAAACAGAGAAAAGCCCGCATCGAATTTCCTATTGGGTCTTAGTGGGGCTCATAGAGAGTTGATTAGTGTCTTGGTGCACTCGATGTAATAGTGATAGGTAATAATCATACTTTGAATCATACTTGACTCATACCCCTTACTGCTCTGTGAAGTGTTATCTACTATCTACACATGTAACTATGTACATTCAAGTGTTATAATCTCACAGGGAAAGTTTATTTCTGTAAATTACACAATATATCAAATAACCGAATCTAAACCAAGTGTATTAGCGGTATTACAAATACATCTCCGCATCCAGCTTTAAGCCGTCTTTTTTTCTTTCCAGAATTTTTGACCTCTTTAAATATCCCCAAAGCTCTAAGGATCTAGGGTCTCGACTCGAGATAACACAATTGTCTGTTGTAAATAATGCAGTGGCCGTAAAGCACCTATAGCCTCCTCGTCTTTCACATTTTATCATGGGCCCCCGAAACATCCACTCGGTGGATTCCGCCGAGCATCAAAGCTCATTTAGCCGGTCCTTCACACCCAGCTCGCCCATTGCCGCCTCAGCAATTGCACGGGATCTCGCGGACTATAGCTACGAGGATCGAACACCGACAGATGAAGCTTCTGATACCTCAACGGCTCGCCCACCCGCCAGCTATACTAGCACCAACCCCCGGTCTTTAGCTGGTTCGTATCGCCGCCCCGGTTACTTCACATCTGTCAGCCATGCGACTGTAATCCCCTGGGCCGGGGACCAGCAATCCCTATCTCAAAGGGAGCGCGAGCAGGCCATCGAACAGGAACGGGACCTACTCAGTGATAACCATGTTATCGCGTCCGATCATGCGTATAGCAAGTCCCACGGGCTGCAGCGTAAGATGAGCGGGTTGCTATCCGCTGCTATCGGCCAAGGATCCTCGTCCCGACGGCCAAGTGCATCTTCTCGACACTCTAGAAGCAGGGATCCCGAGACAGACGCGGCAAGCGAAACTACTGCCCTACTTCGAGAGAGGTCTCCTGATGCCGAGAGCAGTGAAATGGACTTGGAAGAGATTGACCGGAAATGGGGAGAAGCTGTCGCGGCCGGTTTGATCCAGACGACGTGGCAGCGTGAAGCAAAGGTCATAATGACCTACTCTTTGCCGCTCATGGTCACTTTCTTGCTGCAATATTCCTTGACTGTGGCTAGTATCTTTACTGTTGGCCATCTGGGAAAGGAAGAACTTGGAGCAGTTAGTCTTGCGAGTATGACTGTGACAATTACCGGCAATGCGGTGTACTCGGGTCTAGCAACTAGTTTGGATACGCTTTGTGCGCAAGCTTATGGCTCTGGAAAAAGGAAACTAGTGGGCCTGCAGATGCTGCGCATGGTGTACTTCCTTTGGGTCATTACCATTCCAATCATGGTTCTCTGGTATTTCTCTGACCATCTGCTTGCCAAAATTATACCGGAGAAGGAGGTCGCTGAGATGGCGGGTCTGTATTTGAAGATCGCTCTATTGGGAACCCCGGGATTTGCTCTATTCGAGAGTGGTAAGCGATATCTCCAGGCTCAGGGTGTGTTTTCTGCTTCTCTGTATGTCCTCATTGTCTGCGCGCCGCTGAATGCTTTCCTGAACTGGTTCTTCGTCTGGGTAAGTACCTTCCATCCTTTTGACGAGGATAATATTGACTTGGATACCAGAAACTTCAATGGGGCTTCATTGGTGCCCCAATCGCCGTCGTAATCACAGAAAATCTCCTCCCACTCGGCCTGTTCATCTATGTTTACTTCTTTGTGGGATCTGAGTGTTGGTGCGGATTTACCAAACGAGCATTTCAGAACTGGGGGCCAATGATCCGTCTCGCACTCCCAGGGCTAATCATGGTCGAGGCAGAGTGTCTAGCATTTGAAATCCTGACGTTAGCATCAAGCTACCTCGGCACGTCCGAACTCGCAGCGCAATCTATCCTCTCAACAATCTCCAGCATTACATGGCAGATTCCGTTCCCCCTTTCTATTGCGGGTAGCACGCGGATAGCAAATTTGATTGGGGCTACCCTGGTCGATGCCGCAAAGATCTCTGCGAAAGTGAGCTTCTGTGGAGCATTCATCGTTGGTACGCTCAACATGATTCTCCTCTCGACTTTGCGGTCATATATCCCCAGATTATTCAGCTCTGATCCTGAAGTCGTCGAAATTGTAGCGCAGGTGCTTCCGCTCTGCGCAGCCTTCCAGCTTTTCGATGCTCTCGCGGCAAACTGTAACGGTATTCTCCGTGGTCTGGGTCGCCAGGAAGTGGGTGGCTACATCCAACTCTTTTGTTACTATGTGATTGCCATGCCTCTTAGTATGTCAACGACGTTTGCTTTGAATTGGGGGGTTATGGGCTTGTGGACTGGGGTTGCCCTTGCGCTTGGCCTTGTTTCCCTCATCGAGGGCACCTTTATCAGTCGAGTTAATTGGAATCGCTCTGTTGAGGAGGCTCTGAAGAGGAATGAGCTGACTTAATTTGACCCTTGGCACATATGAGGAGAAGTGTCAATATGACTTGATATCCGCCAGTTCATGACACAAAATGGTCAAATGGTTTCAGAATATATGTCTTATGAAATTCGTTCTGTATTAGCGGTGGATTTAAGTGATTAATGTTTCAGCCTCGTTTTCAATCCTTTCAACCACAGCCCTGTTGTCAATTCTGCCTACATGTTACTTTGAAAAAAAAAAAAAAAAAAAAAAAAAAGATAGAGCAACTTGGACTCTATCAGATGTCATGTAAGAAGACAAATCATGATATCATTGGAGTCTGAATGCGACTTTTGACGAAAAACACAGACATGGCCACTCACATCTCTCTAATATTCCAGAATAGCCCATGTCTGCTCATCCATGGTGGAGAAGATCACACCAGCACCGAGCAACTCCTCACCAGCCCTGGCCACTTCGGTCGCAGGGATATTCAGTTTAGAAGCGATGACCTGCATGTGTAGGCCCGAATCATCCTGAGGCTCAGTCTTGAGTAGGTTATAGATCTTCTTTGCAACAAGCGACATCGAAGCAAGAGCCTTGTTCTGACCAGCACCGGCACCGTAGTTATCCGCACCACCCATAACAGCATCAGTACCAGCAGCGTTGCCGCCAGCAGGAGCGCTACCTGGCGGGCCGCGAGTAAAGAATAAATGCACAACAGTAGCCTCGAGCAGATGAGTATGCAGCTCATTGATATTCGACAAGGGCCGGACCGAATGAGCACCAATGTACCGTTTATTGCCGAAGGATTTGATGGAGCCAAAGACGCGTGCATAGCCGTTGAGCTGGAGCTCAGTCTTCCCATCGCCGGGCGCCTTGCCGTCATCGGTATCCATGTTATCCGCGGTGGTCGAGTCCACCCATTTCTTGACTTCGACCTCGCCTGTGCCGTCGTCGATCTTGTATGTAACATTTGTGCTCTGCGAGCTGATGTTGCGTACTTGGCCCATGAAGAGGACATTGGCGACGTCGGCACCGTCGATTTGGAATGGGGCTTCAGGGAAGGGCTGCGAGGCGTCGAGGACTTGCTTTACTGTCACCGGACGAAGGGTTTTGTTATCCCGATCACCGGTCTGTCTTTGGTATTAGTTGGGGCTGCTGTATGGAGAAGTCTGCGATCTGTGTATACCTTGCCTCCGGCAGGACTGTTCGTCTCGCCCGGCATGAATCCTCCTCCTCCACCGCCGCCGCCGAAGGAGCTATAATTGTTGTAATTGCCGTCTAAGAATATTGTTAGATTGCAGCTAGATCAATAGGTTAGATTGGGAGTGATAAGTACCCATGGTGTGAGTTGTGTTGTGAAGGAGAAAAGTCAAGGTACAGCCGTCTCTTCAACACCATTTTACTCAATTGGGGAGCGTGTTGCACGCGTCGCGGGGCGTGTTCTGTCAGCGTAGACCGCCTTCTGAATGGACCATACTATCTACTTCAGTCGCTTGCGTTCTCAACTTGAAGCATGATATATACTATTTTACTTCATGCTAATCAATTCCTCTCCAATTGCTATTATTATCATTTTATTTAGAAACATCCTGCTGCCTTGGGATTTTCAAAATGACATGTCCAATGTGTCTTCAAATGTCCGCTTAGCTGAGCTGGCGCATCAAGTAGCTGCAGGGGACTTTAAACTATAATTTGGGTACATATTGGGTCTGTCTCATATACAAATTACCTTATTCTCACGAGTATTTAAAGTCGAAACATCTTTAATGTTTCTACCCATGAGGATATTTCTACTTTCGGCACAAATTATATAAATTATGTTTGTTTGGTTTGCACACGGGCGATGGTTGATCCGGGACTCACCGCCTACGATTCTCTCAACTTTTTTTTTTGCGACAGAAAGACGGCGAGATAAGCGACTTGAAGTCTCTTCAGGTGTCTGAAGTTTGAATAGTCGAGGATTTGTTTGCGTGATACATTGTCTACTTATTGCAAATTACTCTGTGTTTTCACCTTCCCCCCGGCCATTGAAGAGCCCGAACTGTGTAACGCTTATCACTGCATTTCCGTATCAGTCAAGGCTTCACAGCATACCGCAGCAATGCCTCGCCGTGCTGCCTCTCCCGCAGAGTCAGAGGTCGAGTTCGACATCACAAAATCCCTTTTTGAAAATGACAGCGATTCCGATGCCGGCCCAAAGCCCCCCAAGAAAAAAAACCAAAAGCCCGATACCAACGAAGATCTCGACTTTCTAAACGAAGACGACGGCGATGCAGCTTTCATTGCGAACTCGCAGGCGTCCGCCAACCGAAAGGGCGCAAACCTTAAGGGCCGTACTGTGAAGAAAGGAGGTGGTTTCCAGGCAATGGGTCTCAGCATGACTCTGCTTAAAGCCATCACCCGCAAAGGATTTTCTGTACCTACCCCGATTCAGCGAAAGACTATTCCCGTGATTATGGATGACAAGGATGTGGTTGGTATGGCTCGAACTGGTTCCGGAAAGACTGCCTCGTTCGTTATTCCTATGATCGAGAAGTTAAAGAGCCACAGCACCACGTTCGGTGCACGTGCTCTCATCATGTCCCCATCGCGTGAATTAGCTCTGCAAACTATGAAAGTCGTCAAGGAGATGGGCAAGGGAACGAATTTGACATCAGTGCTTCTCATCGGTGGTGACAGTCTGGAAGACCAGTTCGGCATGATGGCCAACAACCCTGATATCATCATCGCGACACCCGGTCGATTCCTGCACTTGAAGGTTGAAATGGACATGGATCTCTCTAGCATTAAGTATTGTGTCTTCGATGAAGCCGACAGACTATTTGAGATGGGTTTCGCTGCACAATTGACAGAGATTCTGCACGGCCTGCCCACGAACCGCCAGACTCTTCTCTTTTCCGCTACATTGCCCAAGTCACTGGTCGAATTCGCACGCGCTGGTCTTCAGGAGCCCAGTTTGATTCGTCTGGACACAGAAAACAAAGTTTCTCCCGATCTACAAAATGCGTTCTTTGCTATTAAGTCATCAGACAAAGAAGGTGCCCTACTACACATCCTGCACGATATTATCAAGATGCCTACCGGCGAGACACATATTGCTGGAAGATTACGTCAAGAAGCCGAGAACCCCACTAGGAAGCGCAAGAGATCGGATGTTCGCCTTCCGAGCGGCTTCAAGGAGTCGCCTACGGAGCACTCAACCATCGTGTTCGCTGCAACCAAGCACCATGTCGATTACCTCTATTCTCTTCTGGTGGAGGCAGGATTTGCCACCTCTTACGCCTACGGTTCCCTGGATCAGACTGCTCGTAACCATCATGTTCAAAACTTCCGATCCGGCATCTCGAATATCCTGGTCGTCACTGATGTGGCCGCCAGAGGTATTGATATTCCTGTTCTTGCCAATGTCATCAACTATGACTTCCCCTCGCAGCCCAAGATCTTCATTCACCGTGTCGGTCGTACTGCTCGTGCAGGACAAAAGGGTTGGAGTTACAGTCTTGTTCGTGACAAAGATGCCCCATATCTTCTCGATCTTCAGCTGTTCTTGGGACGCAGGCTGGTTCTCGGTCGTCAGTACGGCACCGACCTCAACTTTGCAGAGGATGTTGTCGTGGGAACGCTGGCGAGAGAGCCAGTCTCTCGCACTTGCGAATGGGTACAGAAGGTGCTCGAGGATGATATAGATATTTATGGACAAAAGCAAGTGTCTCAGAAAGGAGAAAAGCTGTATCTACGCACTCGCAACTCGGCCTCTGCCGAGAGTGCGAAGCGGGCGAAGGAGGTCGTTGCTTCTGATCACTGGGCCGAAATTCACCCGCTCTTCAATGATGCAACCACTAAGAGGGAAGTAGAGAGAGAGAGTATGCTGGCCCGCATCGGTGGTTACCGGCCCCATGAAACAATTTTCGAGGCAAACAACCGACGAGGCGGCAAAGTGGAGGCCAACGAGGCCGTTGACACCATTCGGCGACTCCGGACTAGTGTCGAGAACAAGAGAAAACGGGCAGATGCTAAAGCAGAGGCCGAGTTGCAAGCACTTGGAATGCCCACTCCTGACGAGGGTGCACAAGTGGAGGACGATGATATCCCCGAACACGCCGGCGAGAACATGTCAGAGGCATCCGACGATGAACTCGAGGTCACTTTCTCTTCCTACAACTCCAAGTCCAAGCAAGGAGAGAAGAAAGATGCAGCAGCAGCATTCCAGAACCCCGATTATTTCATGGGATACACACCTCTACACAACGACATGGCCGAAGACAAGGCTTACGGTGTCCATTCTGGTACAAACTCGAACTTTGCTAGCGACTCCCGTAACGCGACGATGGACCTCAACGGCGACGAAGGCAAGCGCGGATTCGGCGAAGCACGTTCCATCATGCGTTGGGACAAGCGACACAAGAAGTACGTTGCTCGCCAGAACGACGAGGACGGCTCCAAGGGCAGCCGACTCGTGCGTGGAGAGAGTGGTGCCAAGATCGCCGCCAGTTTCCGCAGCGGTCGCTTCCAAGCCTGGAAGAAGGGCAAGCGCGTCGATCGTATGCCCCGCGTTGGCGAGGCTGAGACGCCTGCAATGCACAACGTCAACTCGCGCATGAGCAGTGGACGATTCCGACACGACCAGGACCGGGCACCTAAGCGGGCTGATCCTCTGCGTGGGGACTATGATAAGATGAAGAAGAAGAACGATGCGGCACGCGAACGCCAGCACGATAAGTTGGGCGGTGCGGCATATCGCGGAAAGAGTGAGATTCGGTCCACAGAGGATATTCGTAAGGCACGGAAGCAGGTGCAACAGCGTCGTGATAAGAATGCTCGGCCGTCGAAGAGACGGTAAGGGATGATGGAGTTAAAAAAAACCCCCCAAAATTTTTACTGTAGAATAGATGTCTATATTGCAGAGATACCACAATTTGTGTTCGGAGATTTTTTTTTTTTACTAGTATGTCCATATGAATCCGGAATTTAGGAACCGCCTAGCTCACCACATGGGAAGAAGTTGTGTAGCCTGGACTCGATCCTCCGAGGATGTATACGAAGACAGATTGGAAATTTAACCCAGTCCACATTGGAACTTGGCCATGTAGGCCATCACGTTTAAACCCTAGATCAACCTGGGTATCAATATCAGCCCAATCACGCCCTAGTGGCCTCAGACCCCCTAGTCACCGTTTAAGGATGTTCATCCGAAATACCCTGGTCTGAAAGGGCAGTTGGTAGAATTGCCGAGCACATGAAGCTACTTTCGGCTTAAGGTATATATAGAGGCTCTACGGAATTACTCCGTAGACACCATAGACATTGTCATGGGGTTTAAAGGTTGAGGCTAGGAGAATTCCCAGAATAATCTCCGTATTAACCGGAACTATTTAACTATTTAACGCTAAAAACCAATGATTCGGCGATTTTTAATCTGATGAACAGAAATAATTATAAATACTCCACTTGACAAATTAAACAAATTAATAAAGTCTACGAATTACGGAGTACTCCGTACAATATACAATATATATACAATATAGCCAGGGTGGATGGGGAACACTATACACACTATACCGAGAGAGGTAAGAGTTATACACTGTCCAAATAATAGGCTAATATCATTATGATTGGTTCATAGATTCAGAAAACAACCAACCAGCATATAATATTGTACAGACTATTTAATCCTGCATGAACGGGGTGACAGACCCCTTACTGCTCCGCGTGCCGCATGTTCCACACCCCTTTTTCCCTAGTTTATCGGATCATGCCGAGTTTATATACATATGAATTATTGATATTGTTTACAGCACGATGTATATCATTATTCTATACTATCTGCAGATTATACCTAAAGTATGCGGGGTAGTTATGTACCTACATACGTAGTACGGAGTGGTTATTGGATGGATGTCCTTGCCATGACATATCCTTTTTTTTCTTATGACGTGAGATACGTGAGATCACTCTGGAATCCTGCAGTTGGAAGCCAGGGATGGTGATCGTCAGCAATGCGCACGCGCAGAGGCAAAGGGCAATGTGATCGCCCTAGGCGCTAGAAGGCTGCAGCCACATCTGTGTTGGGGTCCCCGGAAAATAAAGTAGACCCCGAAGGATTCCATTTCAAGAGAGAGATATGCTCTCTTCTGAGATCTTTTGAACCCTTAGAACTTTTGAGACTTTTTTTTAGAACTTTTTTTCTCCCTTATCTTTCTTCATCTATCCTTTCGAACTACTCAAGTGAAAAAAAAAACACATGAAAAAAGGCCCGAGTCCAACGGTAGTAAAAAAAAAAAGAGAGAAACAACATCCAATGGTGGGTATCACAGAAGGCCGATTATTGTGAGACCCAGCA